TCCAGCACTTCTATTTTGTGCACTAAGTTATTCTGTGGGCTACAGAGGAGAGGTTGTATAGCCAGTTTCCAGCACTCATATTACTGAGATTTTGAAATGCATACACATGAGAAGGCAGCCCAAATTCATAAGAATCCTCTGTATAGCAGACTCATTCTTCTGTGTATATATGCTACCAGAACTCCACAGATAAAATGTATTTAACCTTTTTTTATTTTTGCTACTAAGATACAAGATTGATTTACTTACTCTATATTTTGATAGGACTTCTCTAACCTAAAACTGAGGCTTCTTTACTGAGGATATTTTGTCTTTGGGGAAAAGAAATACAAGAATCCACAGAGAAATAGAGTTGCACAGAGTATTGTACAAATGTGTTAGAAAAAAAAAGATAAATCATAAACAGGCTTTTTCATATGTTTACCACAACAAGAAAGCCACTGTTAATGTAAGAAGTCATGCAGACAAAAGACAGCAGTCACACTCCCATTAGCAGAAAAAAAAAAAAAAAAAACCAAAAAAAAAAACTGCTTATTTTATTTTCTGTTCTGCAGGTTTCTGTTCTGCTTTTGTTCGCTGAAACAGAGCCACCTAGTGGCGGAAAAAAAATAAACTTGAAAAACTAGGTTTTTATATGCATATATGTTGTTTTTTTTTTTTAATAGATACAAATATATATACGTTATATGTTATGTAAATATTTATATACATAAAAAAAAAGACTACAGAAGTATTTCACACACATTCATTCCCAAACTGGAATACTACCCAAACCCAACCTTTTTAAGGATCTTTCAGAGATGAAAGATATTTTCTCATAGTTTTCAGTAAAATTCAGCAATTTTCTTAAATTTGTTTATCCGATCTAATTTTAATATTTTTTAGACCAGGAAGCAGTATAATGCCTGTTCTCACCCCCTCAGTAATGGCCAGCAACTAATCATCAAGCGTGCAAAATCAGCTAGCAAGCTGCAGTACTCCTAAGGTTCCCATCTTTCTGCTCCTCATACATAAATAAATACTTTAAAGACATACTTGGGTTTACTCTTCTTGTGTTCTATCCACTCCGGATCATTTTTTCAAGTCCCTATAGTCATGTGAAGATAGACACTGAAAGTCAGGCGTGTGTAGAAAATATTGTATACATTTAGTTTTAAATAATGCTATGTAAGACAGTTACATAGAAAATAATATTCATATTTTCTGCTTTCTCAGTCAGTATTCATAAATCCAGAAAGAATGTTCTCCTTCCACTGCAATGAAATTCAGTGTGGTATACAAACACTCTGTAGAATTGCGCATATTCAAAGAATTAGCTTAGTTGAACAGAGTTCCAGCTTCCACTCTCCAAACATAGGCTGTGATTCTCTTATCCCTGTCCTTTCCCTGCTGAATAGAGAGTCTTAATTTTCAGATAAAAGGGAATGCAACACCAAAGTTTGGATCAGAAGTTCAGCCTTAAGCTACCATCACTCCGTTATAAGTCCCCTGGATTCCTATAATTACTAGCCTCCATTATGCCCTTGTGAACAGGAGATCCATTAATAATTTACAGACTGTTGAAAAATAAAAATTAAAAGTATATATCCTCCAGGCTGCTTTATGTGTTGCCCTAACCATAATGATAGCTCCGTTATCAGACCAAGCAAATCAGGCAAAGGAAAATATGAATGACTGAATAGTATGGTTATGTCTACCTACTGTCAGCAAAGAGGATATGATGCAACGGTGGACAGTAATACAACTTCTGCTTACAAACCTTTTTTTTCCTGAAAGTTTAGTTCTTATGCTTGGTTCTCAGTGTTTGGTTGCGAAAAGAAAAACAAGCAAACAGACAACTAGCTTAATGCAAAACTAAACATGTTATTTGTCACAGTGCCAAAGAGAAAACTGAAGATGCAACATTTAAATTTTTGAAGTGACACAGTTTGTAGCTAAGCAATTAGCAGAACTGCCAGTTCCAACCATACAGCGCGTCACAAAATTTCACATTCTTCTGTGATTCTTCACAGCTTGAATCAGTAAAATACTCTGTAAACCTGTCCTGTTTACTTAGCCAAAATAGAGAGTTAATTTTGTAGAGTTTTAGATGCTCTCAATTTCTCATTTCTCGAGGAAAAAAAAAAAAAAAAAAAAAGAGTGCTGAAGCTTCTATGAAGGGGAAGAAAAAAAAAAAAAAAAAAAAAAAAGGCATGACTTTGTTAATGCGTGAAAATGCCAGATGGACTAGAGGAATATTCTGTCTGCTAGAATGCTGTGGCAAAGCACTGAAAGGTCAGAAATCCTTAAAAAGAAAAAAAAAAAAGTTTGTCCTGGTACTATAAAGTCTACAAGTAACTCTTATACAGCTGTTTTCCATCTTAGGAAGAGCTTCATGACCATTTACAAGAAGAAAGTAAAGTAAGAAAAATTTAAAGAAACATTTTCAGTTGGGAATATCTATCATAGGGACTATTTTGCTGTAGCTTTAGTATGCTCACACAGAGAATTTTTAGTAAGATCATTTCACATGCTTTGAAAAATTTATTTTCAGAAATGCAGTGCATTTTCTCAAGTGAGAAAGAGTTGTGAACAGGTGGCTTTAAAGCTAAATACATCGAGAACAACTCTTCAGACTATTTCTGATATATGCCAGACCATCTATGAAAGAAAAGGTAGTTGAGAACAGTATGGAACAGAATAGTTCTCTTGGAAGGGATGTATAAAGAACAGTGAGACTAGCTGCCTAACTACTGCAGAGTATCCAAAAGTTAAAGCATGTTACAGTGTCCAGATGCCATTAGAACACTGACAGGTTTGAGGCATGAACCTCCAACCTAGGAAGCTGTTCCTGCATTTGACCATTCTCACAGCATGGTAATTTCTCCTAATGCCCAGTATGAATCTACTCTGTTGCAGCTCTCTGCCATTTCCTTATGCTGTCATTGCTGACCAGGCAGCAAAGACCAACATCTCCTACACTCTTCTGCTGAGGGAGCTGCAAAGGGCAATGAGGTCCTCTTCTCCAGAATGGACAGCCCACTGCCCTCAGCCACTCCTCACAGGACACACCTTCCAGACCTTTTACCAGCTTTGTTGCCATTCTCTGCATGTTTTCAAGTACATTAACATCCTTAGCTATTGTGGACACCTGAAATGCATGCAGTATTCAAGGTGCAGCAGCACCAATACTAAATATAGCAGGAGAACCATCTCTTTTAATTGACTGTCTGTGCTGTATTCAATGCATTCCAAAATGCACTTTGCCTTCTTGGCATCCAGAGCACACTGCTGGCTTTCTCTAAGCTGCTGCTGAGTTGCTCTCCAGCCACTCATCTTCTTTTTAGTGCCTTTGCCTGGCACTGATCTGTCCCAGCTATCATTTTTCTTTCCAGAACTTCATGCTTTTGCTGATCACCCAGGGTTCCAATCTACCTAGACTCCTCTGAAAGGCCCAGAGAGGGACAGCACCACTTAGTCTATCTTGCTGATGATGCACTCCACCCCTACATCCAGGTCATTAATGAAAATGTCAAACAGGACTAGCTCTAGAACTGAGCACTAGGAAACGCAGCTAGTGACCGATCACCAGCCAGATGTAGCCTTGTTCACTACAACCTTCTGAGCTCTACTGCTGAGCCAGTTCATCACTCAACATAGCACGTTCTGTTCATCTCACAGTTGAATAATCTGTCCAGAAAATGCTGTGGCAGAAAGTGTCAAAGGCCATACTAAAATCCATAAAGATTATATTCACTGCCTTCCCTTCCTCACTAAGCAAGTGACCTTAACACAGAAGGAGATCGAATTACTAAGAGGACTTACCCTTCCTGAACCCATATTGACTATACATGATAACAGCTTTCTCCTCTACATGGCTTTCAACAGCATGCAGAATAATCATTTCCGTAACTTTTCCACAGATGGAGATCACATATAGGTCTGTAGTTTGGTCTTCTCTCACCCTATATATAGAAGAATAGAACATTGGCCAGCTTCTATTCAGCAGAGACCTCTGCAGACTCCTGCCCAGCTATAACATCTGCTAATTCCTTCAGCACTGTGAGGTGAGTTCTGCCAAGATGCACTGGCTTAGGCATATTCAGCTGGTTTCCTTACAATTTCAGTAGCCACAGATGAGAAGTCACTACTCCCACAGTCATGGCCTTCCTGCTCAGAGAACCAGGCAACACAAGAGCTATCATTAATATTAAAAAAAAAAAGAGAGAGACAAAAAGCATATGTTTTTCATTTACATATACAGCAGCATTTGTTTCCACCAAATAAGAGACCTGAAGATCTAAATTAATGTCCCAGAAAATGTAAACTATTTGTGGTTGTATTTAGTGTGAAAACATCAACGACAGAATGAAAATTACCTACTTTCTATGAGAGAACAGAGTTTTGTCCTCAGTGATCAGTTTACGGTCAATTTTCAAATTTGTAGCATACTCTAACAAAGGTTTCCTGTTATAGGAAAGGAGGAATAATCCTGGAAGATCTTAGTACTCTTCCAAATTCATAGGTAAGCTGTCAAATAGAAAATTGCACTTCTGAAGTCAACACCTAAAATCTGAATTTTCTTCATTGTACTTTGCTAGTATCTGCATAACATTGTGGAGTTCTATCCTGTAACAAGCAAGCAGCACATTATAACGTTATAAGAAGAAACAGAATGCCAAAACTTTACTGTTGTCTTAGATTATCAAAGAGCTACAACAGAAGTAAAATTGGCTGCTGTGAATAAGTAGGCTATACTTAAAAACTTTTTAGAAATGTATAAAAACACTATTAGTCATGAAAGTAACAGACCCCAAGAAGAGACTTCAGAAGATTTTGGAGACTTCACTTGAGCTAGGAATAGAGGGCATTATATTCAGGGTTGAAAGCTTCCTTCTGCTCAGAGGTTAATTAAAACCTGTGTTCAGCTATGATGTTTACTTGGACAGCCTTCATTTAAACTAGGAATTGCTTCTAAAAATAATCATGTCAGCTGCAACTTTCAGGAAGTTTTAAATCACCTTTATTTTAGCTAACACTTGAGTTTGCTCCAACCACACTCTAAACAGTATTTCAGAAAGCACACACAAATCACAAAAGGTTGTCAATTGCTGTTAGAAATGTTTTGTTTACCAAGATTACACTGTTAGCATTAACAGAACTGGTATCACCAAGTGAGACATGCACACTGTATTAGCTGCTAAACACAGCTTAATGTAATGTACAAGCTGATACATATGCATTAAAAAAAAAAAAAAAAAAAGGACATTGTGATAACAGGAAGGTTTTCCTTTGCAAGAATCCATACAGAAGTTACACATCACATAGAATGGGGAACAAGAGCCACCATGACAAGTATTTCATAGAATCATAGACCTGTTTAGTTTGGAACCAACCTCTTGCCATTACCTAGCCCAACAACCCTGCACAGGACCCAGTCCAGTTTTTAAACATTTCCAAGAATGGAGATTCTATACCCTGTTCTAATGTTTGAAGACCCTCAGAGTTTAAAATAATAATTAAAAAACACAAGTAGAATTTAATGTTTCAGTTTGTGATCATTTCTTCTTGTCTACTCAGCTGGGCACTACTGAAAAGAGTTTGGCTTGCTCCTTTTCATTCCCTGCCATAAGATATTTATGCATATTTCTAAGCGTTTTCTCCATGATGATGGGAACATTCCGAGCTCTCTTTCAATCTGTTTGAAAGTTATTCCATCTCAGACATCTTTATAACCTTGCCTCCTTCCTTTTAGTACATCAGCAAATCTCCTGTATTGAAAACATCAGAACCAGACAGCACTACAGCTGTCTGTTATGTAGAGTTCAAACTGCTAGCAGTGTTGTACTTAATGTAGCCAAGGATCCCAGTGGCATTTTTGCAGAATGAGCTATGCTGTGTCACAGTCAGCTTGTTCATCATAAAACCAGCATCCTTCACTGCTTTCCATCTGGCTGCATATTCCCACTCGGTGTCTTCTCTCTTGCTGAACTTCATGAAACTCCATCCATTTCACTACTTTCTCACTGTCCATCTTTGGTGATCCATTAACCACCCATCCCAGGTTTTTGGTTGTGATTTTGTTGAGTGTATACTTAAAATCCATCATACGGGTCATTAACTTGAACTGGACTGGCGCCAGGGTAGACCACTAGGGGCTTGACTCCAACTGGACTTTCAATCTGCAAGGCTCAGATGTTTGGGCAGTTTTTAATCCACCTTCAGCTAACTAAGCTATACTTTGTCAGCTTGTCTGTGATGTTTGTCTCAGCTTAGTAGAACCTTTGACACACCATTTTCTGTTTGCAGAATGAATATTGCTATAATACAAAGTAAATAAGTAAGCCTCCCCAGTTCTAAATATTTGGTTCCTTTCTGGTCATTCTCATGCTCCTCCTAAATTAGTGAATGCAATCTTTAGCAAGTCAAAAGTTGCAACAGCCTCCATTTTTAATTTAACTGTAATTTTACACCATGGCAATACTTCCTTCCTTCTCCACCCAAATAGCCACTCCAATAGCAACTACAAGTTCTAATAACTTCCTCAGAAGAGGAGGAATATCCTGTTTCTCTGCTCCACAATTTTGTAATATGTTCAATCATGTTAAGCAATAGAAACTAAACAATGATCTCACACCTTAAGTCAAACTGAGAGAAGCAACTTTGCCAATTTAGTCACCGTAACACACACCTCTAAAACAATTATGTGATTTGCTACACCCTACACAAAGCAACTCAGAGCCAGAAACCAAACTCTAAGTTTTAGGCTGTTATTTCTAGACTTAGAGAAGACCAGTATTTAGACATTTCAAGGGAAGTTAACCAGCTCTATAAGCTCATTTATGAAGCACCTCTGTTACCAGGAGACTGTCAACTAGAGAAAGAGTAAATTTAGATGTATTCTACTGCTTTAGTCCTCTGTCTGAAAAAACGTGCAGCCTTGTGCTTTAAGGTTCTGCATTCTACTGTGGTGTTTTTAGTTCCACTCTTCTGAACAGTTCTAGCTCAGAAAAAAAAAAAAAAAGGAAAGAATCTATAATGTCTTCTTGAGTTATTTACCATCTGCCTGCTTCAAAAGCTGCATTTAGATACTCTGATTAAATACTACTTTGCTGTAGTGCTTCTTTGAAGTTTTTAGTAGACTCAGTGAGTCCATGTAACCAGAGAAAACAGGTATACATAGCTACATAAAACTGGCATGAATCATCAGCACAAAAGAAAGTTGGTTTATATTAACTAAAATAAGCACACAGAATAACTTGTTCATTGAAAAATTCCAGCCAATATTGAATAATTTCAGTAGTGGGCAATGAAATTTAATATTTTATACCAGTGGCTAAGTCACATCTGGTGCACTAAGCAGAACAGTTTTAATAGTGCATAGTGAGTAAATGAAGAGGAATAACTGAAGATACATTTTTCTACTTTTGCTACTTGCATACCTATTTTCTGCCATTTTTCAGCATTTCTTTGAGTTGAGAAGTCTAGGACTCAGTCACATAGAAATAACATGCATACAGAGAATTTGTAAGAAAATAGATTTTATTTTCAAAGTTTTATAGAAAAAAATGTTAACTACGCCTAAAGAAAGGAGCTTAACAGCATCTTTCTGTACAGATATCAAAAAGGAAATAAGGCACTTAAATAACATTTTGCTGTCACAAATGCAGCTACCTATAACAATTTACAGTTTTCTACAAATACTAAGAAGTGAGTGTACACACCATTAAGGTAACATGTAAAACAATTTAAAACATGTCCATATTTGCACATACCCTGGCATATCTACAATCAAAACTCATATCAAACATACTAGTTCAGAAAGAGTGCACATTAAAATAATCCCCATTTTAAACAGTGACAGTTCCCTTCAATGAACCAGGTTCCACATACGTGGCTCAAGTCAGCCAATCCAGTTCAGGTTATCTTTTGCCTTTTTTCTTTTTTTTTGGTTGGGAGGGTGAGAGGGAGGGAGACAAGGTGAGGGCCTGGGGGATAACAAAGATTGGAATATTCTACCACATTTCATTCAAGTTATAAATGAGACTAGAAATTTAAAGGTCTTTTTTCAAGTGTACACAGTGGAGCTTATTCTTAATTTGTTTTGAAAGTCACTGATTTGCTCACAATTTACGCATGTATAGCAGATACCATTTCTGAATCCTTTTGTGGAAGAACTGGTCTTGGTTGTGGAGGCTTATACAAAAACACTGCCATGACCACAAAGATGATTGTGATGATTTTGCAAGCAGCACCTAAATGCAAAAAATAGAAGAGTCCTTGTTGCAGGTCATCTTTGATGATGAGACAAGAGTATTTCAGCCACTTATAGTTTCACATAGTGAAACACACTCTCAAATTTTAAACATATTGAAATTCATAGTATCAATTAAAAATACACTTGAGATTAACTAAAAGGGCAAGTAAACTTCCAACTGACTTTAGAGAGTTTATCTGCCTTCTGGTTCTTGCCTGCATCAGCAGGTATTACTATTACTTCAGTTCTGTATTTCTTCACCCCATTCTAGCCTGAAGTGCAAGTCTTCCTTACTTCTTTCTTCACTACTGTTCTTTATTGCATCAGTACTCTTTGCCACAAACTAGAACTGGCCATGACAAGGATTCTCCCTCAGCTACCTTGAAAAAGGTCATTCAATTTACCCAAAGGTACTAAGTGGTGTTTGTCTTACACATGATCATATTCTACCACTGAAATACATCCACATCCAAGATACCGAAATTTGATGTTGTGACTCTTGATTTTTCAGCTTGAAGATTAGTACTAGCAGTTCAGTTCATCCACTATAAGTATCACAACTGCTAGAAGGTATCACAATATCACAACTGCATTTTAAAATTCACAGCCTGCCTTCCCTCCTCCAGACACGTGCCATTTCACACACACAAAACTAACAGCCCGTTAAAGAACTTGGGAAATTTTTTTCCTGCTATTCAGATATGTTAACTGAATTCTTAAGTTAACTGAATGAAAAGAATCAGAATATGACAGAAGTACAGAAGTTCTTTAGTCCTTAAGCTATCAGCAGACCACAATAGATAAGACTGAAATGTGTGCCAATCCCTCAAAATTCAGAAGAGCAGAACTATTCTATGTTACTGTTTTCTTTTCTAGGCTATTCTTAAGAGTAACTCAATGGGTATTGCTCCTTCTCCTCCAGTATTTTGCTTTTTATTATTTAGGAAACAAAGTTTATTGTTATTGCTGTCGTTGTTTTAACTGCTAATAAAAAAAACAGTTTAAGGTTGTTTTAAAAAACTCCCACCAAGTAGTCAAGGTAGCTAACGTCAGTATATCAATTACCTTGTACATGTATTTAGTATGAAGTCACTTACTTATGCTCATCAAAAGATAAGCCATTTTTTCATTGTCATAAACCCAGCAGGCTCCTTTAGTTTTACATTCATCAACATCCCACAGAGAACAACTCTTATCTATTGCAAAGCCAAACAAAATTGGTCCAGGAACAGTACCTAAAAAAAAAAAAAAACAACAACATGGCAACATATTAGCATTTTTGAAGGGTTTCTACAACACTAAACACTACATCCTATTTAATTTCTACCTGTGATTAAGTTTATTTTTGTTACACTTTATCAGTAGAATGACCTGGATTATTGGAGTTTCATTATGTGCACCAAAACAACACTCACACTGATAGACAACTGATCTCAAAAAATGGCAGCAGTATTACATAATTAGATACAAACCTAGCCAGTAACTAAGCCTTGAATCAGCCTTGTATTATGTATGCCATTTAAAGCATACAAGACAAAAATAAGACCTCAAAATGAGCAGTTCAGAGAATATCTACATTTAGTGTAATATATTTTTTTTTACTGAAGTTTATTCACATATCCAGCTATTTCTATGTGGAAATTCAGTGAATTTCCACATAAAGACTGAATAATTAGCAATTTATGTGTAATTTTACAATTTCAGTTTTGAAAGGGAAAGGCATATTCCATGTCCCCTTTAAAAATATAATGGCATATGCAGCAGTAACCTTACTGGTTAAGACTGTCACCTTCCTGTGACTGTAAACTTCATGTGTTAGATACACGATGCTGTTTTCCATAGCATAGCTTCTTAGTAGGATTTCAACTTTGAGAATACAACTTCCTCCACTACTGGGGGAAGTGACAGAGGGTACCTTTTGCAGGAAGAATGACAGTTACCTACATTTTATTCCTGCCTATGACAACAGAAAGAGCTAACATGAACATGCATGACCTATTCAAAGAGGAATTTGAGTTCTGATAGCACTTGCCTTCTAACAAGTGCATTTACTAAGCCATCAAGACGCTACTATAAGCCCCTCTGGAAGTTTCTTAATGCATCATTAAGTCTAGAAAACAGTCTTCGAGAAACAAGTTATTCAGAGACAGGAGTTTCAGCAAGAGTTTTATACCTAGTAGTCGTAGAAACACTGACTGCACACCAAGAGCAAATGAGCGCTGCTTATCTGGCACACATCTGTAAAGATTTACAAGAAAACAAGTTTTTAACTGATTCTTTTCCCAGCTATTTTTCTTACTGAATATGCTTTATCTTAATGTATTATTTTAGCCTGCTGACTGCAAACAATCTTAGAAATCCAGCACAAAACAGCTGTTTCCAAAAAAGAATAGAAGCAATTCCTATGGGTTATCAAGGAATTGTATATCAAACTATGATTAACAGTACAAGTAAAAATCTAGCTTACTAGCAGCACTTTGATATATTTTGAACATTTTTTCCATCACAGAACAACCAAGGATTAAAGGACAATGCTATCATGAGCTATTTTCTTGAAGCAATATATGAATAGAAACAGCTTCAGCACAACACTCACAACACGTACAACCTTAACAATAAATCAGTTCTGGCCTGTCTCACACAAATTAGTGCACTGATGCAACACTAGAAGAAATTACCTCTTACCATTTCTTTCAGATATTTCCCTAGGTGCAAATTATTTTATCTTCATCGCATTTTAAAGATAATACACAAATATTAAGTACAACCTACTCTGTCATTTATGCAATTTTGTTTTTGTAGTGTATTCTTTACTCAACTGTATTAAGTATATTGAAGTGCTTCATCCAAGATGAGCAGTGGAAGCCACCTGTTAGGATTCCCCTACCCACAAAGACAATTAGAGGTAGAAGAACAAGCAGTCTTTTATGGTGTAGGTGCTTATTTCTTGCACTAGAATGCTGTCATGTTTGCATTTCAATGTGTACAGAATAGGCTTGCTGAAGAGATACATATCACATTGACCACTTTAAATTAGTTCTTGGTCATTGGAACTGTTCTATAGTACTCAAGAAATGAGTAACAGTTTCAGTTAAAGAGTATAAAAATTCCAAATTCAAAATGTTATTACTCAGAATTACCCAAATAAAATTGTCAGCTCAGTTCTGAAGAATGTGCAGAATTTCACACTTGTATGCCCACAGACTAACATGACAAAGTCTTAAGCCCAGGTGGACACCACCCCTGAAAAGAGACATTTCAAACTACAGTTGCAGTATCATTGCCCATCCCCACTATCCCAAAAGTTGGCAAAAAAACCAAACACATTGAACAGCCTCCACACCTTGCCCTCTCAAGTACCATGAGGTAAAAAATGCATGCATGTCTACACAACAATTTTTTTTTCCCCTCAGAAATATTTGAAGTACAAGTCAAATTTCAACATCAAGTAGAAGACCTCTACCTTCACATATACACAGTGAAAGAACAATAGATCAAGCTTTCATGCAAGACAGCCAAGACAAGTAACGCTGCCACATTTCATATTGACTACCACAGAATCCCAACATTACAAAATTAATATGATAGCCAAGGTAGTCTACAGTTCCTGGCAAAACAGTTCCGCACGTCAGAATTGAACTGAAGAATAAGAATTAAATAGATAGACTGATTGTTATTTTCTTAGTAAAACCTGAAGTCCTGGAACTAACCATACACAGAGTAGTTGAATGTTTTCCTCATCCAAAAACATGGCAAATTTATTCCTTGTTTTTTTGACCACAGCATTCAAATGAATACTCCCATGAAATAGTGAGCTTTGCTTCTACTTTTTCTGCAAGCAGGAAAAGATTATTTTTACTGATTCAAACAGTACCTACTTAACTATAACGAGCAATGGCATAACTATCTCTCCTTCAAGTACTGCCTGTTAAATGCACAAAATACCACAAAAGAAAATCCTTTGCACATTAGAGTGAATCCATACTACAGCCCAAAATGAATTAAAGGGTTTCATTGATATAAGTTTTCACTTACATGTTTTCTTACATGTTTTCTCTAATGCCCAAAAAGCATACCTGAGAACGGCCACAGTAGATGGAGTAACAGCCATAAAAGTAAAAACAACACCAAAAAAGAAATAGATCAGAAATAAAGGTAAATATTTGCATCTTGTTGAACATTTCCCAGGTATAGCTTCAAGGAGAAAGTCTTCCGAAACGTTTTCTCTCTTCAGCTTCCCAATACAGGAACAGTTGTAGTAAGTCTACAAATAATTTATAAAACAAATTTTTTTTTTAAGAATGACATCATTCTAATATGGTAGGTATTGTGTATTTGCATCCAAGTGAATTTGAAAAAAAACTTGACTTCAAGAGTGGGAAGTAGTCTACTTCCATATGACCATACCTCAATTTTTTTAAATTGTTTCAGCAGAATTTGACTGACCCAATGACCACCTGACCAGTAATTATATTAGGTTTTGTAATCAAAAACGGTCAGTCTCTATTTTGTGTGCAGAAAGTTTTGAGGTACAAACATAAAAAGCTTAAAGAGATTCTAGAGTCAGAGGCACAGATATGCAATACACTATATTATAAACAAACATCAGCAGAATAAAACTTGAAAAGCTATCTTTCATACTCAAATCCTATTTCAAATCTTCAAAGATTTTTTTTTTAAAACATATTATTTGGAAAAATATGTTGTTTTCATATAGATCATTTCTTAAAAAAAAAAACCTAACACCATTAAGGGTTTCAGGGGTTGGGTGAAGTGCTCCTTTCTTTTCAACTAGTTCTTTCACAAAATTTCATGTCTAAAGAAAGTATATCCAAAAGCTGCAGTTCTCTTACAGCAGAATATATTTAACAGGGTTCTCAAAAGGTGTTTTCACTAAATTAACTACTAGTAGCTGCTCCCTTGCATAATCAGCTCCAAAGCTACTGATTATTTCCAAAAATTCAAAAATTTTACTCTAAGCAATTTTAACTACAAAATGTTGTTGTTTAAATAAGGTTCATTCTTCAGATTCAGAGCTACTTATGTCACCATTTCTCCAGCTTTTCTTCAAGCTTAGGTAATACAAATCCAGTTTCAACAGCAGCAGAACAACTGAGATAAAACGCGGGAGTCCACATTCTTTACAGAGCTATCATCAAGCCCCATCACATGGCTTTATGCTTTTTGCTATAAACAAGTTGGTTTTCACAGTAGGCTGCACTTGACAGAAGGAGAAGTGAAGGCTTCCCTTTTTCAAGACTACTCCTAAAGACTTAACCAGGACAGAACAGAAGTGATGTTGGACTGCTTTTTTAAGGATATAATCAAACTGAATTGTTTTAAGCTCTTCATTTAAATCCACTCTTGTTTGTTTTCAAGAGAAAAATAACAAAATCTAAACTTTCCACTTCCAAAAAAAGTCAAATCAGACATAAGGAGTTCCAAGGCAATCTGTTCAGCTTGCCTCTCTTTAAGCCTTTTCTTCCTACGTTCCCACAGCCCTGCTCAGGAGTTTGTTACGCTAGCAGAAAAGAGTCTCCCTTGCTGAAATAATCAGCCACTTTTATGACTTACTACATTCATGGCATATAGAGTATGGTAGAGGAAAGTTATTTTCCAGGGTTTGACTTTCCAGGTTTGCAAACACACAGAAGCATACTGCCAAGCATATGCTAAACATTACATTATTCTTTACAATACTAGGTAAGAATTGCAACTTAATGTCAAGGCAGCTGATGATTTCTATTGTGATCAACTCAATATATCAAACCTGGATTTGCTTTGAATTTTCAGCAGTAGAAGGCCTAGTGGAAGTAACATTTGCAATAAGACACTAAGCAAATGAGAAACATATCAGCATTCACCCTACTTACAAGTGTATGCTTCCAATTCATGTAAGATTTTCCCATAGTAACCATCCCTTCAGTGATACTTACTTGCTATCATACTGAGGGGAGAACACTTGCCACACAGAACATATTTTGTACGTAACACAAACAGGCTAAGTCAACTACTTGCATACTGTAAAGCACCTTTTTCTTGTTACTAAGATTAGACGATGCACATCCTGCAAAACACGGAGAAAAGTACTGGACTTCATCTCTGCCACAAACAGGATAGTATCTGGAAGCGGAGCATCTGCAGTTAGCATTGCATGGTGCTGTTAAGTTATGTAGCGTGCCTGTTCTGAAATAATAATAGTTTTAAACCAATTATAAGCAGCAGACATGTAGATAAGTAATACAGTATTCATAGAAGAACAAATCTCATTATTTAGTCCAAAGAGATTCATGCACATAATTGCTCAAAAATAAAGCAATTTCTAGTAGATACGGAATAAAAAAGAATTACTTCTCCAGTTGTAAGTAGTTATTTTTTGTTATTACTTCCACAGATTTTTTCAATTTAGAAACAGATAAAGAAAGATTTGTATCTCAACCCAGTTCCTCTTCTTTTCTCCCTCCCACATACATATACACTTCAAGTTCTTTAATTTATAGTTTCAAGAAAAAATGCAGCAACATTAAAATTCAATAACAATTCTACATCTAGAACAGCATCCTCCCACCCATCCCCAGACAAGCAGACTGGTCTGCTCAGAGCACTTAAAAGTTACATATATATCGTTTTCTTACTCATCTATTACACAGATCCCATGAACAAGGTTTTGAGTTTCATAAAACAGTTCTGCTTTCATACATCAAGGTAAAGTTATGACTTTAAGGTTCTGTACTCTAATGTAGTTTTCTTACTTTAAACATAAATACTAGCACCAAAAATGCATCAAAATATATTTACCCATTATATGTTTCGGTAACACCAGCAAAAGGTTCATTCCCACATTTAGCAACTAAAAAGACTGTGTTTAACAGAAAGGCAACTGAACAAGTGCCTAAAATGAACTTGATTATGTTTTTGCAATCCATTTTGTACTTGGATACCAAGATGCCACTTATTACTTGGCCTAGTGCTGCTGCTGGAACTAATACAAGCCCTAGAGGAAAACAAGAAAGCAGCAATTATACAAAAGTGCAAAATATAGTAAGTGAAGTAATTCAGAGAGCAATTTCATGTTATGTAAGAAAATAATCGTAACAGTTATGGGATGCATCTTAAGATGTAGAGTAAGAAATGTAATAGTTTCCGTGAAAGCAATTTATTCTGCCTTTATATTACCTGTAGTCTTTCCAGAAGATCAAATTCACAGTGTAATCTATAGATGTACAAAATTGAAGCTCAGTAAAGCAAACAAAGATTACTTGAGGGTACTTCATTCTGGGCAGGAAACTCTGAACACTAATCTGCTTTATGAAAATACTATTCCACGGTTTCTCAGTATTTTTCACATCTATGTTTTTTGTTCCAGATTTGTGCTATGAACTTTTTAAACAACAGAACACACAGTCTTTGTTATACAGAAGACAGCAAAAGATACAATGAAACATCTACAGAAACTGAAAAATAAAGTTCTCAGAGACCAAAGTTGGCTAGTTTTGCTGTCATAATCTATACAGATTTATCCCTACACACAATTGGAACTTCAGAAAGATAACTGAAAGTTTAAATATAGCTAAACTCCAATAAAACAGAGTTCCAAGGCATAACTTGAACTGACAAGGGATATTTAGAGTCTTGAGGTACAGTTGCAGAGCTGTACAGGCACATATGCACACAGAAAAAGGCTCAACATATAACACTCAAGATTAGCTTGCTCTTAGTTCAGATAAGTCTAGCTTTCAACATGACCATGGGCATTTCTTCAAAATTATACATCTAATTAACACTACAAATATCTAACTCAAATTAAAATAGACTAGAGCAAGGAAAAATTCAAGTTTTCTCCCTCCACTACTGATGACAGTTTAACAATTGATCATATGCTCCAATGCATTTCTACTGGAAACTTGCAGATAACTGCTCTGAAGCGAAGATAGCTAAATAATGATAGCACTAGCTATCTAGTATTACCCAGAGGACTCAGTCATCAAGACTTAGTGGAAAAAAAGCACTTCAACTACCATATGCTTATACTAGTAGCTGAAGTAATTTATCAAGACATTCCAGAAATGCAAAGCTGGCCATAATGCAAGTATCTCTTGGCCTGTCTGCCTTGATCTGGTTGGTATCCTTCAAAAATAACTAGAATTACTCATGTGTTCCTACCTAGTGCAGCTTTTCCATCAGTTATCACACTGGTTTCTACAATACTAGCTTTTCAAAGCCTTCCTTTTTCCTATAGCCTTACCTATTACTTCTGCCTATCAGGTAACAGAAATAAGAGGGACTACAGCTTTATGCTCCTTCGGCTAATTTTAAAAAAAATTAAATATCATTCGCCAAAAATAGAGGAATAAATTAAAGTGTCACCAGCATACAAATTTTTCATTTCACTTTAAAAGTTACTATTGCTTACTGAACATATGGACAACTCAGGTTTGCACTGTTGGAAAATTAAAAACTTGGGCTTTTAATCAGACAGGCATAAAGATCTTAAAACATTTTTCTGCTGTAAAAACCCAGCTTTAGTTGTTTTCAAACAAATAACTTCTCAAAAATCCTGGAAAATACAATACAGACTATATTGGCTCCCAGCTATAACTAGTAAACATGTTAAAGATTTAAAAAATAAACAAATAATAAAAAGCAAAAAAAACACATTACCTCCAAGAGTTGCTGAAAAACTTGATGTCATTCCAAACTGATTTTCTATAAACTTTGGTAGGAATGTGGCAAAGCCAGTGGCAACTAAAGCTTCTGAGGTACTGGCTAATATTAGGCTCATAAGCACAGGATTCTTCAACAAAATCTGTGGAGAAAAGTTTGTATAGTTTCCATTACTTCATCATTGCACCATGTAAACTAGATGTCACTTTATTTTCAAGCAGATACTTTCACGCAGAATTTATCAAATATGCTGCTCATGTTAGCAATCAAAAGAACCAGCAAAATGTGATATGCTTTATTTCTCAGTGACTCTGCAAACTTCTGTCACAGCACTTTGAAGATGAAGTTACTTCCCTAAACATTCATTTAACACCTGAAAAGAATCTTATTCTCAGAACATATCGGTTTTATTAAGTTCTATATACTTTCTTACCAGGAGAGCAATAGGAAAGTCTTTAAAGTTTTTTCCAATATTCTTTGTTTCAACAAGTGCCTCACTTCCATCATTATGGGTTTCAGAGATTTTTTCTGCCTGTATTTTTGCTGTTCCTACAGCAAGAAGGGAATATTTATTGACAAAGATGTTGAATAACAGTGTTAAAGACTTAAAGTATAAAGAAATATTACAATAAATGTTTCCTTTCTACCATAAGACTAATTAAGTATTTCTATTGACCTGGAACAAGAGAATATCAATAATTTATTGCTATGGAAAAACTTTAATTAAAGGCATCATGCTTCCCTTTGATAGCCTTGGCTGTAATAAGAGATTAGCAATTATATCTTAAGGATTTTAGATTCTTAGTCCATTCACTATTTTAATAATCCTCACGTTCTGCCTGGTTCACTACTTTCAACATAAGTCATAGAAAGCTACTCTTTCCAAGCAACTATCTGCCTCAGCAGAAAATGTATTAAAATCTTCTTTTTAAGACTGCTCTGCAATACTTGAATTTGTATTCTATCCATAGCTATAACGCAGTAGTCAAAGACAACAATACAAGAATTAAGTCAGTAGGATTTCCTTATGATTTTTGGTGATAAGCAAACATCTTTATTTAAATACAGTCCTGTGTGCACCTAGTTGAAAGCATCTTTCAAATTCTGACCGTCAGTTTCCATATTCCATCTGTTTCCAATCCTACTGTACTTTCCACTAGTACTTACAAGATCCTTCTTCTGGCTAATTCCCCATATTTTAAAGGCTGAATAGTAATAAATAACTTTTTATTTCAATAAGGCTTGGGCTATTACATAATTAACTGAGAAGGAGAATCAGAGGAATCAGCCTCTGAGTCCAGCACTCCAGAGATAGAAAGAGATCTCCTTTACAAAGTAGCTCTCATTCCCATTTAAGAAAAAAAAAATTACCCGGCAAGTATTTCGGAAAGCATGAAAATGGTATTATCAGAAACCAAATTGCAAAAAAGCATACAAGGAATCCTATCCACCATGCTCCAAGCCAGCGCGGGTCTTCTTGGTCCATCTGTGTACTGGAAAAATAATTTGGGAAGAACTGATGAACTCAAGTCACTGATTTCAGATGTCAGTGAGATAGAAAATTCTTTTTTCTAAAAATAGATGAGACAGAAGGTCCTTGAATGTTGTCACTTTCTTTATGTGTATTAAAATTTATTGTTTACCTGTTAAAATACAAAGTACACTCACTATCAGTATTTTCAAACAAACAAAAAAAACAAACCATTTATTTCTCTTCCTCATATGAAGAAGAGTTGAAGATTTTAATAAGAATTATTAACAAAGGAAAATAGAAACTAGAAGACTCATCTTGCCTTTCTGGGATCTTGATATCAATATAAATATTAAGTAGCTGTCCTCCTAAGACATAGCCAATAGCAGGCCCAAGCAATGACATGGCATACCCAATTCCTGGAAGAGAAAATACATCATATTTTTAAGCTTCCTTTTCAGGAAATTCCTCAAGTCAACTTTAGACCAAGTGATTTCTGTAATTCAACCTTTTCTTTCAGTATCATTGCTTCAGGTACAGTGTGAAGAAAAAGTTTGTACCTTTACATCAACACAGAAATTTGCAGCACTCATTAAAGCTATATCTCTGAGATTTAACATACCAAGACACACTTCACTTGCACTATTTACATACATTGTTAGATTACTTTTAAAACATCCTGTCCTGCAATCATAAGCTACTTTGCATAAAAGTTTCTTAACTACAATTATTACAAGCATCAGTTGTTAGAAGCATATGCATGCTGTCTTTAAAAACCTACATACTTTGTTCTTCAATTGAGTGCAGATTTTTTTACTTTTTATTTTTTGAAGAGTTGACAAGATTACAATACAGGCTTCCATTAAAAGTTTCTGACAGGAGGAATATCTGCCACTTGAGTTTGCAGAGAACTTGCTTCAATTTTCTGATGTAAGTCTAAAAAATATAAAGCCATGGATCTGAATTGTTCCTGGCAGTTAGGTGAAAAATACTAAAGCTGCAGTTGTAACTATATGCTACAGAAGAGCAGTCTTAAGTCTACATTCCTTCTGTGTTAGTACAAGATGTCACAGTCTTTCTGGCCTATCAGAGACTTCTGTGGCCTATTAACACTGTTGGCAGAAGAATTCTCTCTACTACTAGTTGAAAGACTGTCTGCAAACTAGAGCTGTCAAAATAAGACGTGCATTCCTGTTGTCAAAGCTCTGTGATTTTCCCCCAGTTGAAGAACCTAGACTTCTATATGTTTTCAGAGTGTCTGTTTTATGAGTATTTGTATGACTTCATTCTCGTAAGATAGCAAGAAGTAGTGGCAGGGGAGAACGGAATAGAACACTGACATACCAGAAAGTTAGAATAAACATGCAGTTGATGAATTCTATGTTTACTCCTATTTTAGTTATAATGACAAGCTCATAGGAACACCCTACGTTCACATTCATCCTACACAGCTTCAAACTTCTAAGATCCTTATTTCCCCCTACAAACTATTCAACCTGAATTATCATTTGGAACTTTTTAACAGTTCCCTGGCTTTAGATTTAAACGCCTCTGCCGAGCAAGGTAAGAAGTCTTTACAAAATATCCCTGTTTTCAAAAAGAAAGAAAATAACAGCTTATGAATTACCAACTTTTAGACTAAGGTGCTAGGTGCTAGCAGTTATTTATAAGCGCGAACAGCAACTTTAGGGTGGTTTGTTTTTTCCTTGTATTGAATAAGCCTTCTTGTATCAAGAAATACAATATACTTTTAATCTTCAGTACAGTGTATTAAGGTTAAAAAAAGAATATATTATAGGCTTAATGTGGCTACCTGTCCACTCACTGTAATTCCCTCCGGTTCTTATTCTATCAAGTAGAATACACTATTCTGCTAAATTCAGCAGGTATCCAAAGACTGCAAATGAATCAGGTTTATTATACTGTCAATTATGCTTTAAGCCTCTACACTAATCACATCTCTTGAGATTTCAAGATGCTTCTTGATCCCTTAATCATACCAACAGTATACTAACTGCTCTATTTGTTTCACTATCCTCAGAAAACTTACAAGCCTTAACTCATAGTAAAGACAAACAAAATTAAGGGCTGCCTGTTATTTAACATAAATAATTAGACACTTTTTTGGCAGATGAGGTGGCTTGTCTGGAACAATTAAGCAAGAAGTGTATGCAAGTGGATGAAGACTTCAGTGATTTCCCCCTAAGAGAAAAGATTAAAAACACTGAAAGTTTTTATTCTTTAGCTTTCTAAGAGCTTGAGAGTAAATATAAATTTATTATCTGCATTACTAGGTAATCCCTTTATTTTCAAGTAAGGCAGGAATACATATTGGAAGTATGCTTAAGTTCCATATTTGTATGTGACTAGAAGACTGCACTGATCACACGATGCTCATAAGTGTCCCTGTATACGTAGGGCTGCCCACTGTTAGTAGATCTAATAGGTATGGGTAAAGGACAGATACTAGCAGTAGACATCTTACCTGAACATACTGTTTATATGCAGGCTATATTAAGCCCTTTCAGTTAGTGAGATGACAGGAGAGCAAGAGAAGGACATGAAGCAACCTTCTGGTAACCCTGCAAAATTACTACTGAAAAGACTTCACACTTACAGCAGTACTCTGCGAGTTATAAAACTACTTTATGCACATTAGCATACAATGATGAAAGATGAGCCTTAGGTCAATACATAAAACAATTCATTGGATATTGTAATCTGTGATCTTCCCAGACAATGTATTATAAATGGATTTAAAACTTACCTATATAAAGGGAAGATTTGTGCTTTGGAACACTATCATCAATAAAAGCTGTCCCCAAAGTATAGAGAGGAGTTCCTCCAACTCCCAGCAGCAGCTGTCCCAGTATAAAGACATAGAGATAATTGGAAAGTGAAGACTTTGTGCTGGCACTGCAAGTGAAATTAGCAGAGCTTGTTCCTGAAATCTGACATGTATCTGAGGATATAAACAACAAAATTTTAAAGGCATACTACCTAGCTCATTACAGCTGAAGAACATATATTTATTCTACATATACATATTATAGATGACATATGACAGCACATATATTCTGCACTGTTGCACCTAGACTCCTATTATAGTTTTCACATCTACTATATCCTATGCATGACTGCGCTAACCTTCAGTTACATAATATCCTCCTAAAGAAATATGATTACAGCAAACAAAAACAGGTTTTTTTCCTTACCAATAAGAAAATACAGATGAAATAGCCTTATTAAAACACTTTGGCCTGAGGACCAAGTGTACGCAAAAAAAAAAACCAAAAAAAAAGAGTCAAATAGTTATTCAACAGTTTAGGAAACACTGCTAGGAAATAGACATTTCAGTTTGGTTTTGTGCCCAACAGTGGTTCTAAGGAGCACTAGCAACAACCTCTGTTCTTAAGCAGAGAAACACAGTGGCCTGAACAGCAAGACTGCTGGAGAACAGTGCCATAGTCAGAGTTATAAATAAAAAAAACACAAAAACACCCTCACACACAGAAATACCACAACACAAGTCACCACAAGAAGGAAGCAGAGCAGAAGGCATCTGCGGTGCTCCTGTATGCCTCTATGCAGAAAAGAAAAAAAAAAAAAAAAGAAATGAAGACAGTATGTTTTTTCTTTCCCTTCCTATCACTGCACTTTCAGTAACAGACAATCCCAACTGACAAGATCAAAAGAAGAGCATGTTTCTTTCTTTCCAAGCTTCTCCACAGAAAAACATACAACCTCGAGGAAAATAATAAACCTGTCAATTTGGTGAAAACAAACCATCCTGAGAAAACCACCTCTGAATCAGGTAAGCTCACAAGACATAAAACACAAGAAAAATCCTGCCACTTTTTTTTTTATTTTAAATAGAAGGCTGACCAACATTGCCATAAATGCACCATTGGCTTTTATCATTTCCTTTCTAAAGAAGCAGCAGCTCCATACCAGTAGTAGAGTTGTCATGTACCACATAACAGGTACATTAGTACTACTGTATATGAAGTGGCCAATTCTGAATGATTAAACACTTCAGGGGGAGTTACTAGCATTTTCAATCTTCTCCAGTTAGGAACAAGCCTCATTTTAATGTTTCATGGAAACCATATATATCCCTAGAGTTTGTTCTCCACTTAGTGTCAATCTATTTTCTTAACAACTTTCTGCACAAAAGATCAATACTAAGTCTTATATCCAGTTAACTTTTTACTATTTATATGCACAGCATCTAAAGTTATCTATTGCAAGACAGCATATCCTACAATTTTCTGCCAATATACATGTTTGTGTACAGCATGTAGAGAATACCTACAGTTATCATTTAACTCTAAATGCCAATTAGGTAAGCCTAAATCAGCATTAACTACTTACTTAAGTTCTGTACTTTAACTAAGAGTATCTTGTTAATATACATATTTGAAAATAAGTAACAAACAGTTTAAGAAAGTTGCATGAATTTTATTAAGGTACTGGTCTAGCTTGAGATCCAGGGATAGCTTCATGAAATAAGATTCCGCAGGTTAATGGCCACCAAACTCTGACAGACTGCTTCTTCATTAATCCCTGTCCCCACACCAAGTGTGTTTTTTTCACATCAATTTAGAAGCCTTATGCCATTGTGTTACTAATTGAGTATAGCCTCTATCAGTTTTCAAGATCTTCAGCCAGTATAATTATTTTCATGGAAAGATGAAAATTTATCACACTTGCTTGTTCTCAAATCACACAATTAAAACTCTAACTATGAAATTATGAGAATAACGTATACTTTAATACAATTATAATCTTATTTGCATCACCCACTAGACTTACTGATTTTTAGCTAAGCAAACATACATGCACTTACTGACTGGAGTCATAGGCTCCATATTTCAAGAAACATTCTCTAAAGAGTATTCACTAATGAAACAAACTGTGATGAGATTAGTTTAATCCAGGGTCAACACTGTCATCAAATCACAACTCACTATCTTTACCTCAGCAATTCAAATCATCACCCTCTTCTTCTACCAGCATAAGGTTTTGAACAGTCAAATAGCCTGGTAGTGTGCCACAGGTTAAACCTAACCTGGATTAGTTCCACCATCTTATGATCTGTGTGGAAGAGAAAGCACTGGCTTTACATGATCATAAAAGTCTAACCTGAAATAAGCCAAGTTCTGGGAGAAGTTTAGATGAGTAACTAACCATTTCTATCCAACTTTTCCTCTATAAAATTGTTCTTCCTTCTAAAAACCATTGGATTAGATTAGTATTTCGAAGGGCTGAACTGTTTTAATGACAATATTATCTAAAATAGTAATTATAAATCTCCTTCCATTCTTTACTTTAATTATACCTAACTGAATACAAGTTATATAAAGAGAAAGTATTCCCAAAGACTTAATGCTAGTGCAACATGCTAGTCAAGAAGGCAGAACTGCAACATGCTTTAGCAATTACATTAGTTGGAAATAATACAGGTCAAGGCTAGCTTTACTCATATCTTACATTGGATATGGCTGTTTTGTTTGTGTAGTATTTTTCTTTTTTTTAGTACTTCAGGAAGTTAGATGTGGAGAAATAAAAGAACAGCTTGATTTCTGTTCCCTCTTAAGCTTAAAAAAAAAAAAATCTGTCTGTCCTGTAGGTTTTGAATGGGAAGAGAGTTTCAAGGAAGATTCAGAATTCTGTGACAAATTCTTAGTTTCTACAGAGACAATCTGCAACTCCGTAATATAAGTGGTATAGAGAAATATACCAGACAGTGTAAAGAACAGCAGCTCTATCCGTTCTCTGACTTATCTGATGGTCCGTTCAGAGACAAAAACCAACAGGAAATCCACACGCATGCCAATGGTGAAGAAAGAAAACAGTCAAATTAGAGGCTGGCATCTCACATATTCTGCTCAACCCACAGCCCTCTTACATGTTTTACGTGCACCACAGTCTCCATTATTTAATTTGTCCTCTATATATTCCAGGAAAAGAGGTTATTGCCATTCTGAAGAGATTCACTAGTTATCAGCCCCCACTTGATTAATCTACATTCAGAGTTTCCAGCACTACAGAGAACTGGGGAAAGTTACTCAAGTCATTTTTATTTATGTTAAATCACACCACATGCATTTAAACTTAAATAGTAGAAATTTGTCAATAAGCAAGATACTTCTAAAGATACATAATATAAGGGATGAAGAAAAAAAAAAAAAAGAGGGATTTTGTAGAATAATTTAGGTTGCTGGAGGCATCTGGAAGTTGTTTAGTCCAGCCTCCCAATCCAGTGCCAACATCAGCACCAGATGAAACTGCTCAGAACTCAGCTCTGAAGGGTTCTGAAAAGCCCTAGGGACAGAAGCTGTCCAATAACCTCTTCCAGTGCTTGACTATCCTCATAATGAGATTCTTCCTGCTGCAAAGTGAGGATCTAAATTTTACATTTGACATGAAAATCATTTCAATTGGAATTAAGATAAACGTAAAAGATATTTTGCTTATAACACCATTTCAACTGTATGTTTTTTTTGGTTTTTTTTTGTTTTGTTTTGTTTTTTTACAGCCCTCTGTACTGTCTCAGAGTAATCAAATAATTGTTGAATTATAAAAAACCCACTAGATGGAGCTCCTGACTCCAAATTTCAGAGTTTGATCAGAAGATTCTATGATTATTTAAAGATCCTAAATAAGTCACCATAATAAAACAGATGATATCTACATTACAGTCTTGAGTTTCAAGAATTTTTGGACATCAGACAAGACAGAAGCATTTGGCTTTTTCTGTTCATAAACAGACAGTCCACTGGTTAGCCACTCATTAAATAAGACATTGAGTTAACTATTTTTACATAATGCTACTGCAATAATATTTCCAGTGGAACAGTTCTGAGCAGGTAAACATGCTATCCTACAAAGAAGTACACGGATACCTCATAGTAAAACAGTAATTTCCAGGAAGACTATAGGACTTAACTTCTAGATTAGATAATAGATTAATTTACCGAGCAGTCAAGAAATGTTATTCTGAACTGTACTTTAGAGTCATACTCCAGGTAAAGCTCACTGTATTTACAAATAGATGAACAGAAATAAAGTAAATGAAACCAGGTGGTGCAAAGTACCAAGTAGATTTTAACAAAAAATAGACTGCAAAACTTCTAAGTTGCACTCATAAATTGATTTCACTCCCAGAATGTGGTCTTTAAAATACTCATCCAAATGATAAACAAGAAAGGTTTGGACTGTGTGGTACTATTAAGTTTTACAACTAAGTGTATAGCTAAGATACTTCATCATCAAAACAAGCTAAACCAGACATCCGATGAAATCTTGTACTCTGGTTAACTTCACTGTGAAAGGATGCTGTTGTACAGTACCTGTAAACTTGCTTTCAGTCTGCCATAATACACATTTCCCGAATTCTGCAGCCATTTATTTTTGATAGTGTTTTGTTTAAGTCAGCTTAGACCCTTAAATCTGCTCATTGTCACAGCACAAGTATCTGCATTACAACAGTCAGAGAAACAAGCACGAATTCAGTTAGCTTTATAGGGCCATGATGAAGAAAGCACATACACCACTTGAAACTTTCTGCACAGATTCTGGATTTCAAAACTCCACATAGAACACAAACCCTAATAAGGTATCAACACCTACAGCATCTTCACTGGCAGATGAAATGGCAGATGCATTGACAAAACAGGAACAGACAGATACTTATCAAAATTAATAGTAAAGGGAAGAATCCAGTTGCAATAGTTTGCTATCTACCTTCAACACTCTTGTGCTGCCAGTATCTCACTGCAATAGAAAACAAAGCTACAAACAAGTCAGAACTTCCTTTAGATTAAGTTCAGCTTCCCTTACATACTAGAGAGGTATGAGAGTAATAAATAGTAATTGCAAAGAAATGAGTATGTGGTATAGCCAGAAGCAAGTAACTCTTATAGCAGCAACAAGCTTAATGTGTAATCATCTGTTGAAACTTTTTCATTTGGCTCTATTCAGTTTAAAAGCTAGATTAACTTCTGCCTCGGGCTCTCATTTATTCAACGGGGAGCAGTAATTTACCTAAGTTATTTAACTAATAGTCAACATCTTGACAGCTCATGGAAGTGCATGGCATCATGTGATTAACACTTGAAAAATATAGATGAGAACCAGCAGCTGGAAGTCTGAGAACATTCCACCAGATTGCTTAATAGCTACTGAGTTTTTTAGTTAGCATGTTAATATACTTAGTCACTAAAGAAATTTGCTTAAGCAATGCAATAACAATTAAGATAACTGTGAAAAATTAAGTCATCCTTCTTTTAAAGTATCTGGATGTTTCCTTATTGGTTGCAGGTGCGCCACCACACGGAAATACAAGCAGATGGCATTAAATACACAGCACTCAAAGTCTTGAGTTATGAGCAAAGTTCTGTAAGACATCGGATAATGTCTTGGATGCTGCCATGATTTCAATACTGCTTTGTTCCACGCAGTTCAATAGTGCATGTTTCCTCTTTACTTAAGAAAACAACACAGGGTTAGTCAGCATTTTGGACAAACCTATGAAACTTCTTAATGAATTACACAACATACCTTTACAATAAATAATAGTTCAAAACCTAGCAGAACTGCAATGTTGCAATGTGTAGTGGCCTTTCAACAGATGGTAAATCTCACAGCTTTCCTTTGACGTTTATTCCACATCATTGACCTAACCTGCATTCTTACTGATGAATAAATACCAGATCATTTTTTACTCTAAGTGAATTTTGTTTGCACTCATCAATACAAATAAAAGAGCATTTTACTCAACCTCCGATCTGTTCTGAAAAAGGAAGTTCAGTGTACCGAAACAGCTCTTGAACTCATGGATTTACTTTCACCGCTAGGAAATTCTACTCAATTTTTACAACTTCAACAAAGATTAACTAGGCTGCCCCAAATTAAGAGTTGCACCAATTTGCTACAAAGAATAATGAAAAACAAAATTATATTTTCAGAACGTAATAAACTTACCTTCAAGTTTAGCTCCATAGTGATATTTTCCACTACTGAAGTGCGGTAAGGAAAATACAAGTGAGCCCAATCCTAGCATAAAAGCTGAGAAAGCCAGCCATCGTGGTTTGTGCCCTCTTTCTCCAAAGAAAGATACAAACAGTGACAATACACAAAAAGCAATGTCATAGCTTGCAGATATCAAGCCAGTAAGGGAGCTGTTCAACTCGTAGCGCTTCTCAATTGTTGTGATACTGATGTTAATCAGGCCATTTACCACAACGCCTACAAGAAACAACAACAGAAATGTAATTAATAAAAAGTTCTAAATTTGATGGGGTTGCAAGGACAAACTTACCATCGTCTTCTACCATCAGTGGAAGGCTAACAATTAATACATTTACAAAGCTACTTAAGGTATTTATTAACTTTTAAATCCAAGCATGTAGTGGATTCATATGCTGCCAACTTAAGACAGCCAAGCTGCACAAAATCTATTCAATTTTGTTCTCTCCTGCGGGGAGAGCTTTAACAATCAGCTACTCAGTACAGCAAGATATTATACCCCATGGTCTGCTAATGTTATTAAGGTTTCAGATTCAGTTTGAATTGCAAATTTCAAACAAAATGCATTTCAGTTTCAGGAAAAAAAAAAAAATTAGTCAAGTTTATTTGCATGAAAATACAAACTAAGATTGAATCAAGTTATTTAATACTAGACATCTTTTAAATATGTATGTCAAATAAATACTATTTACTTCCTATCATCACAAAAGGAAGATACAAGGGCCTTGAACAGACATCTTTACCTATAATGTTAAAAATATATAAAGTGATTTAAAGACACTGCAACTGTTTCAGAGCAACCAAAGTGATTTACTTTTAACTGACAAAAATGTTTGCCCTCTGAATGTTTTTCTCTCATGCAGAAATATGAGATGACATGGAAAAACAAAGGCCTCACAAAAAAAGCTGCTATGCCTAGGCAGTGACAAAAACGAAATTAAAAAAAAAAAAAAAAACATCCAAAAGCATAAGTTATGTCAGCCATGGTTTCCAGTGCTAGCTGGTTACAGGTACTAGCCTGGATTTCTTACCCTGCCAAACATTCTGCTTCCATATGAGGAAGTAGTTAGATATCCATACTTTTACTTTAACAGTCCCAAAATAACATTCTGATATTAGTCAGATGAGCAACTACGCTTCATGATATTGTCAATTAACTACACAATAGTCTAAACCAAGCCTGTAATAAAACATACTGTAGGAAAATGTTAGGTCTTCAAATCACAGTTGCAAATGAAATCAAAACAACATGCGCGCCTCTTACAGCACAAGCCCTACATTCATCCCTTCTGTTCCTAAGAATTCAAACATGATTCTCTGCTGCCAGTACAGGAACAGCACTGGAGGACTTATAGCTGGGAATAGTAATGGATTTAAGTTAGTTTTCAATAAGCACTGCACTATCAAAAGACGCAACTACACAAAGCTGAATTTCAGCAGACCTTCTTAGAGTCTACAACATGTTAAAAAAACACTGATTAATCAGCTGACTTTTTAAATCAGTAGAATCCTCACCATTACTTTACCTTTTGGCACAATCTTGATTATCTTACTATTGTCACTTCATAATAATAATAATTCATAAGATAATTTCACCTATCAGTCCAGCCACCATGCTTAAATTCATACGAGATGAACAGCAGTATTCAGGAGTGCCTCAATGTCTTTTTAATTCTTTGGTAGCTTTATTCTTTCTCTCCAGAGGAGCAGTGACCAAAGAACAATAGAAGCATGAAGGAATGAACAAACAAATTCTCCTATTTGCAGAGCACTTTGAACACTTGCTACAGCTTTAAAACATTCATATGAAGGAGGAGAGCTACTCAACAAGTTGATTACTGAATTAGAAGACACTGTCGCTTGCAGTTTACCAGTTATCTTTAATTTACATCCATTAAAAAAACCTACAATGCAATTTTATTGTATAATTAGATTCATCTGTAAAAATACAGATTTGATGAATGGCAGTTTAACTTCTCCAATGCCATTATCTAGTCATTAATCACCAAAGCCTCTTCAGGAAAGAAGAAACCTAGTTGATCTCCACTTTATCTGAAAAACAAGGACATCTCAACACTTAAGTACTAGTACAGAAATTATGTTTTAATTGATCTCATCCAAAACTTATACTGTCTTCCCACATAAGTTAGAAGCTTGAGTATAGTGTGCAGTGATCCACAAAATCTAGATTAGTTATTAATGAATTTCATTTGCTCCAACAAAAAAGAAGGAAAGAAGTGCATTTTTTTCTTTATCCATTTACCAAAAAGTACTTGACAGGTATTCTACATATCGCGTATTTAAGGTAATTGTTTGCAAATATCACATTAAATTAAAATAAAAGGTCTTTCCAGTGACAAAACTAATGAGGGTATCAAGTATTAGTGCTATCTGGAGTGTTCAGCCAGATTAGCCTGGAGCAGTCTCAAAGACTAGTTCCGTTGATCTGTTGAAAAGAAACACTACTGACATAAGGAATAAACAAACTATCCGGCGTTCAAGAAGTGAGATAATTTTTACCTTGTTTGCTACTGTAAATATGAACTGCAGCATATCTAGTTACAGTATTACAAGATGCAGTCATACCTTTACGCAATTCAAGTGCCATACAGAAATCAGGTATTAGTCATGTAAGCATGTTCTACGCAAAGAAGAGTTTTCTATACTGGAAATACAGGTTTTACCTGTACTTGAAACAAAAACAGACAGAAATGAAGAGTTAAGTTTCAGCTGAAATCTTCCAAGAAGCTGAAATACAAGAAATCAGCTGCTACTAGGAGAAAGTAACCTAAAAATACATGTCTTTGGTTACGCACACACTGCCGGAAACTACCTACTGTGTTCACTCCCCCTGTAAATGGAAGAGTGTTAAAGATTACTTCACTATTCTTCAGCAAACTAGGAAATAAACTAGAGGTACGTTAGCACTAGGAAATCTTGTAAATATGTTTTATTGTTCTCAGTGACTATTTCTATAAATTGGAGGATAAGTGAAATACTTCAGATAGAAAGCAAAACAGTACTTTAGCAACACAAACTACATAGGATTTTGAAGTTATCTAAATCCTTCAACTGCAGCACCAGAACATCTCTGCAAAGTGTCACATATCACACTAAATTTCTTGTCAGCTAGCTCTCATTCTCTGCTTCTGAAGTGACAGTGTGAGTCCCCAGTGACCAATTCCCTTTTTTTTTTTTTTTTGCAAAAAAGTCCAGATAACACATCTTTAAGCATACCACAGAGTCCATAGTTACCAAACCTATATCAGCTTTCAAAGTAAGCGAGCTCTGAACTTTCATTAAGTCCCAAAATCTAGACTAGATTAAATAAGTATTTCTCTGAGGTCTGCCGTATCTCTAGTTAGATAACAAGACTAAGAAGCCTTAAGGAACACCACACAGCATCTTAAGAGATTCTTAACACACATGCTTTCTGACTGGGAACAAACCCTATTACCAGTAGGGGATAAAAATTCAAGTGATACTGAATTTATCATTCAGCCAAGCAAGCAGTCAGCACTAGGTAAACGTTATGAAACACTGTTTTAACAAATTGAAGTGCTAGAAGTAGTCAAGATGCTCTTTAGTACAGCATAATCTGAAAACTTTTCAAAGACAATTTCAGGACGTTTATAGTTTCCTACCCCTATTCTTCTAAACTCTTTAGCAATTCAGTTATTTACCACAGCAGTTCATTCTGTAATAAATCCTTCCACTCCTCCCTTACTCTTTACTGTTTGAGAAAAAAAAAAAGTGAGCTATGGAGAGACAACTGTAACAATAACCACCTCGTGGCCCTCCCAACAATACTGCAGCCATTCAAATACAGGCAAAGAAAAGCTGCTTCTGTCCCCAATCCTCTAGATGCTTCTTTTCTAACCCAAAACATGTTAAGGAAAGAATAGGTTCAGAACAGGCTGAAATCAAAATCTGAGAAAGCCATGAGAGACACTTGATAGTTTTCCAAGCAGTATATATGAGCAACAGGCAACTCCCCAAGTTTTAAGAGTCTCCAGCCCAGCCCTCCCAAGACCATCCTGGTTCCCCACAGGAAAACTGACATCCAGGTCCTGTTTGCCTTCAATACAGGCTACTTGTTGTCTTGGCAAAGGATGTGCACACATCACATGCAACACAGTTGAATTTTAAAGCACTTGTTTATGGATTTTCGTTTGGTTGGTTGTTTTATTTTTTTTTTTTTTTTTCCCCAGGACACACAGCCTTCTCTTCCAGTTATTCCAATAAAGTTAAGGTATATTCTGTGAATATACCAGTGAAGATCCACATGAGGATCTCACCTTTCCCACCCTCAGGTTTACACATTCGGTATGCCATCACTACCTCTTCCCCTCAGCTGTCATTCCAACTTGCTAAGCCTAAGGCTCACTGAGGTCCCAACAGGTCTTATTACCAAATACAAAAAGGATGGACAAGAACACCTGAAGCTAAATAACAAATTAAAAGCAAGCTAAACTCTACCTTCCCCAAAATCCAAGCTGCTGGTTGGGTGGCAGACCGACTGGGATCCACAGAACAAAACCTGATTTCTGAAAGCCATCCTAATCACCCAAGGTCCCACACTGCCATGCCAAGGGTTTTTATTAATTAGCAGGCAGGTAACAAAGTGCACAGGTAGCGTGCTCCAGTTTTGCACTATCAGCATATATAAATGATTTGTTAAGTTTCAGCCTATTAAAAACATTACCTCCCTGAGAATGACTGGGAAGACATACAGCAGTCAAGAGCTGATAGGGTCGTGGGACTCAGTGGTGCTCATAGGAAAAAAATTAAAAAGAAAAAATGGAAAAAGAAAAAAAAAAAAATAAGAACAGAGTTAGGTACGATGAGTAACACTGTAGGGTCAGCTTCCCCACCCAGCCCTCAGGTGTTCTCTTCCCCACCGCTCAGCAGCTCAGCATCAACATCGGACCCCGGCACCTCGGGGAGCTGATGCACCGCCTCTGCCGGGTTACCTTGGAGGATGGCCAGCAGGCTGTAAGCAACCAGGTAGCCCTCCGGGGTGTTGCAGAACTGCAGAGCCTTAGGGGTGCAGCGGCCCCAGCCGCAGGGCCCCTCCTCAGCCTCCTCCACCGGCGGAGCATCGGCACCTGCCCCGGCGGGGCTCGCACGGCGCCGACCGCCGAAGTCGGGGGTAGGGGGCTCGAACGCCGGGTTCTCGATACCGTCGTCGCCCTTCATCGCACCGCCTCCACCCGCCTCGGGCGGCAACTCTCCCCTAAATACCGGGAGGGCGGCCCGTCCCGCCGTGGGCAGGTAGCGGCACCTTCCCCTCCTCCCGAGGCGGAGGGCCGCGCCCTGCCCTGCCCTGCCCTGCCCGCTTCGGGCCGTGCCCCGGGCTCACTGCCGCCCCCCAGAGCCCCGCGTCGGCCGTTACCGCCTCCCGGCCGGGATCTGCCCAACGGCCGCTGCCAGCCGCAGCGCGCGGGGAGGCGGCCCCGGCTCTGCCCGCGGAGGCTCTGTCCGCTGCCCGCCCCGGAGCGAGGCAGGACGGAGCCCGGCAGCCGGGCTGGGAGGAATGGAAGTAACAGACGGTGACCCGGAGAAAGGTCTCGTGAGCCCGAGCTCTGCGAAGCGTTCTTAAACACGGCTGGGAAAAGTGGAAACGATGTTTTTCCAGATACGGTACTTTCCAGCGTTAGGTAAGAGCGTTAGCACACATCCTGGATGTGGAAACACGTTTACAAAAAGACCTGCTGTTGGCAAATGTCATCTTTAGACAATATTATTCCCCTGATGGACGGTAGAGTTTCCAGCCGCCGGTCTCAGACCCAGCAGTAGTGCTGCAGGCACGGCCGTGGGGCTCTGTCAGGTGCACCGGGCAGAGCTGGTCTGTGCCTGCAGCAGGAATTAATTCGCCGATCTGTACAAGAGCAGCCTGGAAGGAGTCCAGGGATCAATGAGCTGCCACCACCGGCAGTAACTGAGGGCTGCACAGGTTTGTCCTGCAAAGTCCTTCCTCTTCAGGAGTGCAACGCAGGTTAGAGACAAGTGAAATGTGACAGAAACTGGAGATGTCGGAGGTGACTTAAGCTATGCCACCCTACCCCCTAATCCTAACCCTCCTCCTGAATTCCCATCTGCCCTTCTGGTGTCACAGCTCGTCAGAGGGAAGCACATATTTTCAGGCATTCATTAAGAGCTTATAAGGAGTTTGCCCTTAAATAAACAAACAAACAAACAAATAAAAGCCACCACATAGGTTTGCATTTCACTGGTTTTTCCTTTAATTGCAATTAAAGATGTGTCACTTGAAATAATATCCTGATCTCCAGTGGAGTGCTGAAGTAGTAAGAATAATCCAGTAAGCTGCTAAATAATTATACTGGTAATGTGACAGTATATCCCCTGAATCTGCTCAGGGTTTTTGTTACTTTGCATACTGTGTCACCCTAAACCCTCCCTCAGCTGACGGTTTTGGTTTTAACCTCACAGGAAAGTGACAGAAGGGAAGGGAAAAAGAGAAGTGGAGCTGACTAAGGAAAATAATGTGCATAGCTGAAGTCAAGAATGCATTCTTAAGAAAATATAGGAGAGATAGTACTGTGCTATCTGGTCTAGGTGTAGACTGACTGATGGAGAGAATTGAATGAACTCTCAAGAGGGTTTATGCCATGCTAGTAAAATACAGATTTTAATAGAAAGCCACGGAGATAGAGAGGCAGAGAGAAAGCAGTAAAGTATGACACCTTGGTTATATTGCCTGAATGATACTGTTACTCCTCAGCAAGCTGCTTAAGATAAATAAAATAAATCCAAATAAATGTTATAAACTGCTTTAATATGAGAAACAATTCAAAACTGTGAAATAAGTTTAAATTCCTGACGTTCAAGAGCACATACATAACCCACCTGAAAATGTCAACAACAGTTTTACAGGAAGAGAGAGAGTTAAAAATAGTAGAAGGCTTTAAGATGAATGATCTGCTGAACTAGATGGAGGTTGCTCTTCAAAATGCAAATGTAATCATACAAGTTACAGGGAATGGGAAAAGGGGACTATGGTCCGTCCATAACACTTCATCTCTGATGGTGATAAATCATTTTTTCTTGGAAGTTAGAAGGCTTTTAGTCTGCAAAGGTCTGAAGTTTTGGAGTGAACTTCTAATGGATTAAGTGGATCATGAAACTCTTTAGATGGAGCTTGATCAAATTTTGACTAGAATAAGGACACGACAGTTACTTATCCATAAGGTCTTTTTCTGATCTGAAGTTCCTGTGAAGTGGGAATGGGAAACTACAGTCTAGAAGAAAGGAAAATGATGGTCAACTCCAAATACTATCATAAAAATCACACTGAAATACACTGCAGAGAAGCAAACAACTATATTAAAGAATAACTTTGCTATATTGAATAATTTCTCTGTATTTGTGGAACAAGTATAATCTGCCACCTTCTTCCAACTTTACAGCCTAGTATTTGATCTACTATAGCTTCTGTAGTCTCAAAAGTCCTTGGAGTTCTCCTGCTGCATGGTCTCGTGGTACATCACGTCGTTGATCAGACACGAACATAGGACATAGGAATGCTAGATAAGATCTGTGAACACGTAAAGAAAAAAAGAAAATCATAGTTTCTTCCTCGTGGATAGGAATGAAAGACGCATGTCTAAAAGAAGTATGAAGCTGAATGGATATGCTATGTGATATTCCCTTCTCATTTAAAGGTCATTAAAGGTCAAGAGGTACACAAACCCACTATCTCCATGTAAAAAGCTTCTCCCAGAAAAATGACATGTTTTTATCACTACCATACTTCCATTGACTTTACCAGCAATAAAATAACGTGCAACATAGATTACACTAGATTCCTACAACACATTTTCCAGGCCACCTTTTAGTATTCATGGAGTGTTTCAGATGCCATATTCCTCTACAACTTCAACTCTGATACAAAGGCAATCAAAATACAATCTTTCTCCACTGTGGATAATCTTGCAGTAATAATGCTGATGAGCAATCATAGTAGCATAATTCAGTTATTTGGTGTAGGATGGAATTTTCTCAAAACAGTTAAAAACAGTGCTACCTTTCTTCAATTAAGTATGAGGCCAAACTCCCATATCACAACCTCTCTTTAGGTAGTTGTGGACAGCAATAAGGTCATCCCTGAGCTTCCTGTTCTCCAGACTGAACAATCCCAGCTCCCTCAGCTGCTCCTCATAAGACTTGTGCTCCAAACCCCTCACCAGCTTTGTTGCCCTTCTCTGAATATGCTCTAGGGCCTTAATGTCCTTCTTGCATTGATGGGCCCAAAACTGAACACTGTACTTGAGATGCAGCCTTGTCAGAGCTGAGTACAGAGAGATCATCATCTCCCTGCTCCTCCTGGCAAATTATTTGTGATACAAGCCAGGATGCCATTGTTTTTCGGTCATGGTCATAAAACCATTATACCTTCTTGGCCACCTGAGCACACTGATGGCTGAGGGAGCATCAACCAATACTTCCAGGTCCATTTCCTCTAAACAGCCTTCTATCTACTTTGCCCCAAGCCTGTGACATTGCCTGGGGTTGCTGTGGCCAAAGTGCAGGACCCAGCACTTGGTCATGTTGAACTTCATCCCAGGCCCCAGCCCAGCAATCCAGCCTGTCCATATTTCTCTATAAGGCCTTCCTACCCCCATGTAGTTCAACACTTCCTCCCAACTTGGTGTCACCTGTAACCTCGCTGAGGGTGCACTTAACGCACTCATCCAGGTCATCACTTGCCTTTCATGAACCCCTGCTGCCTGGATCTGATCCCCCAGTTGTCCCGCACATGTTGTGTGATCCTCCTCAACATGATCTCCTCCATAACCTTTTCTAGCACTGAAGCCTGTAGTTCCCCTGATCCTCTTTATGACTCTTCTTGTGGATGGAGGTCACATTGGCAAGCCTCCAGACATCTGGGACCTCTCCAGTTGAACAGGAATGCTGATAGATGATGGAATGTGGCTTGGCTACTTCTACCAGCTCCATCGGCACCTTCAGGTGGATCCCATCTGGCCCCTGGACTTGCAGAAGTCCAGGTCTCTAACAGTTTCCACCTGAATCATGGGGATTTATTCTGCTCCCCATCCAGGGGGAAATTTTCTCTATCAAGTAGTGTTACTGTGCTCTTTTGTATCCATGATAATAAATAAGAGGCATTACTTTTGTAGTGATCTATGTCTCTTTCTTTCACATGGATTTTTTTCCAGTGAAAGAAACTTTGGATCTTGAATTTTTATCTATTATATGATATTCAAAGAATCAATTAACACTTTTTCCAAACATATGTCCCAGTTTGGATGGCAGGTTAACAGTAGTAGTTTTCCAAGCACCATCATATCAGTCTCAAAATCCCCATCTTCATGACAACAGGGAGAGAAAAACCACAAAGGGTAAGACAAGGACAGGGAGACTACTCAATAGTTACTATTGATAACGGGCTGGAGCAGTGGCATGTAAGCTCAATCCAGAGACGTACACTATTAAGCAAAAATGATCTTTTTTTCTTTCTTCTTTAACATATTTATTCTTTTCAAAACAAACAAAGCAAATTGATGACTATGAGCACTTCTCATAACTCCTAACTCAAGGTAAGTCTAAATTACATCATGCCTCAGGGCAGTCACATGCTTTCTTCAACTCAACATTAACCTTGGAATTCTCACAGTTTTAGTGCCTTGTATCCATGCTAATTAAAGTAATGTAGCTCTTACTCTGCCCCATGTCAAGTTCTACCAATACTATGTGCCCAAAGGACAAATATCTTTTTTTTTCTTTTTTTTCTGTTTTGAATATATACCAAAGGAGAAACTCTTCCATTCTCTGTTCTGTGACATTTTATCCTTGGAAGACTATGCAACTTATCTTGTAGTGCTATACATTTAAATGTGTTCACCAGTACAACTAACATATTAATATAATGTTTTGTTAAATGTGATTAGTGATAGTAAAGGGATTAAAATTGTGTCCTAAAATTAATTTCTACATTTATTCCTATTGTTATATGGCCTAATGAATGCAACGCAGTGTGAGAACTCAAGGCATCTTCTGATTGTATTTTGATGCCATAATTTTTCAATTTCTGTCAAACATTGTTTGTTTTCTGCAGACTTGATGTTGTTTGACCTATAAGCACATTCAGTGATAATATTACAAAGTATTTTATCAGTCATTCATTTCTTCATTTCTTCATAGTGAGTTCCATGGATTGTTATCAGCTGTTGGAATTTAATGAACAGATGAAGGCAGAAGTAATAATTTCTTATTTTCATTAGCATTCATTTCAGTGTTTCCTGGAGGTGAATAATCTTTTTTGTTCAGTTTTTCCTGGTTCCTTGTTGGAACAAAAATGAGTGAAATTTGATCTGCCTTTTTTTCTTTATTTTTTTT